GAAACTTTATTTGAGGAAAAATTCCTCAGGTTAAACTGATGAGATTTGACGAAGGACAGCTACTTCGGTTTGTGGTGGAGGTTACCAGAAACACAATGGGCGATAAGGATAGGTTGCTGACTGTGGAGAAGGAGATGAAGGCAGATTATAATAACCGTTGTTGAGTTCGGGCTTACAGCTGGCTGATTGTTCATCTGTTTGTTTCCCCACATAGTATTGGACACATGACCAATCCTCTTACATGTATCCGACCTGCTTCCATATAATCCATTGTCTTTTATCCCCATCCAGCTCCAGCACACTTCTGGAGAAGACCAACATTCTTTGTGACATTTCCCAAAAATGTGAAAAAATGACAAACTTATCTCAAGTTTAGGCTTGCAGTCCTGATCATTCAACAAATTTGGCATTTGATGTTGATGTTTTCATTGATGCACATGAGGCCTCAAAGGAATTTGGATTACTCCTGGATCATTTCAGTGTATTATTTCAAATTTAGTGTATGCAAATCAAAGAACATATTTTGAAACATGCAAAATGTTGTACAAATTTACAATGACATACATTTGCTGTGCTTGAGTTTCAGAGACAATGGGGACTACAACAAACTTTCACTTAGAAAGGCAGTACAAGGAAAGGTAAGTTATGTGTCAGTGATGCCAGCAAAGCTAACTTGCTAACGTTAGTGATCTGCCCCTCTACCAAAATCCTCCCCCTTCACACAAAGACATCTGTATGTCGGGGGGACACACAAATAATTAGATATGGGTATAAGTAAGCTATATGGGGGAATTTCCACAAAAATGAATGAGTATGTCCATTTGGTTATCTGTAAGACAAAGTTGCACATGAACATGTATATCGTTGGGACTGAAACAAAAATGTTTGCTGTTTTAAACATTATTGCTTGTTATTTCTCGCCAAGTTGTTATTTTTTCAAAAACAGAAAAATCTGAAATGATGATCAGCAGATAGAAACCTTCTTGATGGGCTCAGTTGTTTCTCAAGTGACTTTATTCGGTGTTGCAAGAACTATTCATGCACCACAGTGTAATCTGAGGAAGAACCCACGGCTGGTGTGGAATTTCACCAGAGAGCGTGTGGATGCCGGCATGTGTGTGACGCAGTGACGGCCAAAGTCATTTCTGTTTGGATGTGTCTCTGAATCGAGGATATTGTTCTTCACATCTAAAACAGTTTAGCTTTGTTTGTCTGAGAGCTAAATATTCCTGCTCTTTTATTTCTTCCCTTTGTTCAGAAATGATGAAATTATATGTCTGCAAGAGCAGATGGATTTTTCCAAAAGGAAAATTGCTCAATTATGGATTCCCATAATCGCAGGCTGATGGCAGTTGTTGCTGCAAGGTTTGAAAGAACTGCTGTTGCAGCTTAGTTTATATTTTCAAGCACTGTGCCATTTTCAAGGCTCATATAGACGCAAACATTTATTGTTGTTCCTCAAATTAGCAAATTAACAAATTTCTAATAGCTTGAGGGACACTATTTCTAAAACAAGTAAGATTTCTGTTTGGTTTTTTTTTTTTTTTGGGGGAGGGGGGGTTCAGCATCCTGATGGATACTGAATAACTTCATTCACATTTGTGTCACATATATTTTCTAGCCTGTATTGCCAAACGGCAATAAAATGTTGCATTGGACAGGCCCAACAAAGCATGTGGTATGTGGTAAAGCCTCCTATTCAATAGGTGGCACTAGAGATAATTGACAAAGAAGACTGAGTACAACAAGTAGAACAAGAGATAAAAATAGAAAAGTTTACTTAAAACAGCGGTGAATGAGGAAATCTGGGTTCAGGGTGAGTTCAACCCTTTGCCACTCAGAGCTCTAGTTTTTATGTAAGTGTTGCCATTTTGTTGTGGTGTCCCAACCATTCAACTTTGGCACTATATAGGAGCTCATTCTGATGTTCACTGGAAGTTCAAGAGTTTTTTTTACACTTAACTTTAAAATCTATTTTTCTATATTTTAATGATCAAACAAGACCAAGTTTGGTTACTTTTTTTCAAAGACAGTATTTTCATTAAAAAAATGGTGGTGGAAACTTTGGAATCTTGCTGATACTATCCTTTAATAGAACATCAACAATTTAGATGCCAAAACATAATTTATAAATATGTAACTTAATAGATTTCAAATACAGGCCTCCAAAGCAAGCGCTCTTGGTTTGGAGCCTCAGTGACTATGAGGCTGGTCCGCACCATAGTCTCTGAGACTATGACCCAAACATTAGGGCAGGACACAACCGTGTAAGTCATTATTTCTCCCATTGAGCTAGATTTCCCTTTTAGAATTTCATCAGGGCCAATCGGTGAACAATCTCAATAGCTGAGCGTCCAGACGCTATGGATGAAGCACAACGAAGAACAAGAGGCTGGTTTTTACCAGGATTATTAAATTGTAGCACATCCAGAAAAACACACACCCTTCCGCTGTCTCAGAGGCTGAATCACCTGTGGCCGTCACTATGACGGAGAGGTGAAATAAGTCACGTGTAAAAGGCGCGTCACAGGTAACTTGGAGTTTTCCATAAGTTCACCCAATCTCTTATCTTTCAGCATCGGTAACCCAAACAAAAAACACACAGTGGATCCAGCACTTGTGAAACCTCTTCAAACTTCCTGTTTTTAGTTTACACTTCCAATCTCTTTTCCTTTTGAGTCAACTCTTCTTGTGTTCCAATGCAGCACAATCTTATTAACACATGCCACACACATTGTTCCTCTTTGGCTATTGGCACGGAGTCTCCCTCTGTGGAGTAAGTGTTCTGACAAACAGGCTTGTTTGAGCTTGTGTTATCATCAGTCAGAATGTGACAACAGGTCCAAATCTGTTGTGTGAGTGGATAATATTTTAATCAGCCCAGTTTTTATTCTGACTCACACTGCAGGTTTTGAGCTGTGATTTGTGCTTACAGAGCACTTCACGTATTCCGTATAGTGACTAGACTCTAGTGACTAGACTCTAGTCCAATGCTCAGAGCTCGAAGTCGTATGTGGCTTGAAGTGAGATATAAAAGAACACACAGTTGCAGAAAAAAAAGATATTTGGTCTATTCATAACCCTTTCCATGCTCTGTTGAATTGTTCATACCTCAAAGTTTTCTTTGTACTTATATAAACAAAGTATTTCAATGGAATATGGTGTGATAAAACACAAATGTGTCTTTGAGCTTTATCTGTCACTTTGGTTTTGTATTTGGATTATTTTTGGGTTGCAATTGTATTTTGGTTTATGTCACTGACAATTTTTACAAATGTCAAAACATTTGCACCTTCTGTTGGGGATGGATTCTAAAGGCTTCAAAGCTCAGCAGGCCTGGTGGAATATTGAATATTAAAATCATATTGCTCTAATGACATCTACAGCATCGGAAATTACATTTTATTTTCATTCCGTGCAAATTACTCTTGCATGATGTAAATCAAAGACTCTGAACAAAAAATGCCACACAAGGACACCTCCTGAGACCTTTAATAAAACATCGATTGCATGCCGTTTCTACTGAATATTTCATAAACAGCCTCACTTTTCCCTTTGAATTGGCACAAATATATGAAGTTGCAGAGGACAAAACATATGGAACTTTTTCGTAATGTTTTAATTGCGTGAGATGTTCGTCTATGTTCCTTAAGACCCGTATAGATATTCTGCCTCACTGTGTCCTGCAGGATGGCAAGAAACTGCTCACCGACCACCACTGGTTTTAGCTGAGAAAGTTGTCAATAAAACACGCTAAAACTTAAATGTGATTTATAAAAGAAAAACAGACCCAACAGTTTGCTACAAATCGTCAACAACTAGAAAACAAGAACTGAAAAAAGTTTTGATCAAAAAAAATAGTGAGGGAGAGGGAAGTAGGTCAGTTACGCTAGCTTGACTTTGACAATCTAACATGGACTTGATACACGTGACGCATTCGCTGTAAAATTTGGTGTTTCAATTCACTTAAACCATAAAGAAGATCGACATATAAACTGTAATGGACTGAATGTTCTGTTGTTTTTGTGGGATATGTTTGCATTGTTTTTTGGTGTTAGATTCTGAAACACTAATGGAGCTGTTGTCAGTCGGTTGCCATGGCAACGAGTCTACCGTCCAGAGAGAGAGAGAGAAAAACAAATGAAGTTTTGAGTTGTTCTGTAAATTTTTTTCTGGACTATTTCCCCTTTGCTGCAGCACATTGCACTGAATTAATAATACATCTGCAGGTTTCATTTTCTTAATGGGATTGTTAAACTGTGGCAGGGCGGCTAAGGATGGGAAGTTTTTGCCCTCCAGCGTTGTGCGCATGTGCTAAGATTTCCAGACGCAAACAGTGACATTTAACGCATCCATAAGTCGTCAAAGAGGGACTCCCAGACTGGCATGACTTCACGGGACAGGAAGCTGCTTGGCATCACTTCCCCTCTGCTAACTCTGGTCCTGAAGGAAACCAGGACCAGAGGGGGGCGGGGCGTCTGGTTGCTGATCAAACCCAAGCGGTGGAGTTTGACAGGCAGGTGAACCCATAGATGTCGGAGGCGTTTATAAAAGAATATATTTAATGACGCTTTCCAATGTTCCTTTCTTTCTTTTTTTTTTCCTCATTGATGACGGCGAGACAAAATGGGAGCTGTCACGCAACCGTGTAGTCAAATCCCAGCAGATAAAAAAGGCAGAGAGGAAGCGCGTGGGGGAGGATGACAGAAAGTTTGAAGGCGCTGTGAACATCCAGCGATAACCCGGCAGCACAAAGTGTCAGCATACCCAAGGTCTTGTTTTGTCTCAGAGAGAATCAGAGACGAGGCGGTGGGAAGACAGTGAAGTGTGTGATGAAGACAGAGAAGTGTGTGATGAAGACAGAGAAGTGTGTGATGAAGACAGAGAAGTGTGTGATGCCTGGTGTGTCTGCGGCGGAGGGGTGGAAAAAAAAACCCGACTCAGCCTCTAAAAACCTCTTTCATGACTGTTTGGGGCCGAGCGTCTGACTCCTCCTTATCTCGCCCAACAGACCGGCGATCGCTTTCTCCGCGCCGGCTGGCGCGGAACGTCTGAAACTTTGGCCCGCTTTCCGCGTCCCAGTTCTCCCGTCTGGAATGATGCCAGCGAGACTCAGTAGCGCTGGACTCCACTGTTATTTTTGACACGTCATGCTATTCAAATGTCGTTAAACATATCAGGAGGGGAGAGAGAGGGAAACACAATTTTATAGAGGTAAAATATCTGGCTCATGGGGGGGATGATTCACATCCTTAAACTTTTTAAAATGTTTTTTGACATTACCACAAGTGTATTTGCAAATTAGCTTATCTTCAACCTTCCGAAAATAACCCTAACCACAAGTTTGGATCAAAGCATTGTGATTGTTAAAATGGCCCAGTCAAAGTCCAGAACCCAGATCCAATTAATCTGGGCTCTGAATAATTGGATCTCTGATTATATCCTCTCATCTGGTCTGACTTAGCTTAACATATTCTTCAAGAAGAAAGGGCAAAAATCTGACCTTTCTCAGCTCACATTTTTAAAGTGACAGTAAATGAAAAAATTACTTTTTGAGCTGTACATCATGTTGTAATGTTATTGCCTCATCAGAAACTCACCTAGAGTGTTGCTTTGATTCTTTGGGTCCATATTCAATTACACATCTTGCACAGGAAGCGGAGCTACTTGTCATTTCTTCCAGCAAAAATGTTGTTAAAGGATCAATAGAGAAGCCATGTTGTGACGACTTCCTGAAGGCGGAGTGTCAGAAGGAGCAGGAGTTTCTTAAAGAGAAGGGGCCCAATTTCAAGGTGTTAAATTATAAAGTCAAATTTCTTTTAAGTCGTATTTTGATCCTTATTTTTTATAATGATGAAGTTAACATAGTTACTTTATTATGCTAAAAAATATCACAAAGTGGCTGGAAAACACATAGTACTGCCCCTTTAAAGAACTAAAACTACAACATTTTTCCAAAATGTTCCATTCTGATTAAAAAAGGGCAAAATCTGTGACTGGATGATGATCTTGCAGCCTCTGCAAGGTAGAAATTGATTTAGTTATGTAGCAGACCTGTTCATCTGAGAGGAGAGTGATTTGTAAGGGTTTAGCACCAGTCAAGCATCTGCATAATCCTGTTAATCACTCCTGGCTTGTTTCTCTCTCTCTGTCTCTCTCTCTCAATCTCTCTCTTTTTTTCTTTCTTTCTCTTTCCTTTTTTCATCTCACTCTGGTTTTCTAAGGCTCAGCCTTGTCTGCATCTTACGTAAGCTCTCACGCAAAAAGAACGAAAAGGGAATCGTGGATCGGGAAGAACACAGAACCCGTCCCAGCCTCGTTTTCTTTATCAAAAACCTACTTAGGAAATTCACATTTCATCCTGACTTCTCATTCCAGCTGTTAGTTAGTGCACTCAGCTTCATATATTTAGCAAAATCTTTAAAAAAAAAAAAAAAAAAAAACATGTCTCACAAAATCAAAGATTGTGATCATCTCTGATGTGCCCAGAGGGTCCCGGTCGTCTCAAGTAGTAAAAAATAAATAAATAAAAGGCAACCAGACTGGATTCACCTCCCCCCCTCCACAATTGTTCACCAACACACACTCAGCAGACCCTGAAGGCTGCCAAATGTCAACTCCGATCTGGGCCAGGCTCCTTGCAGGCACGGCATGGACGGCCACACAGCCAGATGAGCTCCTGCATCCAGAGGAGCGTGTGGTTACTACGGTAACCCTTGCCTCTCCATCGTTGAAACACTGGAAAGATGTAGTGTTGGGTGGTGAGGGAGGGCCAGGGGGTGGTGGAGGAGGGGGTTAAGGAAGGTTGTATTGTCTGGAAGGCAGTTAGTGGTTTGTCATGCAGTATTACGCCAAGCAGAGAGAGATGTGTGTATGTGGAGCAAATGTCAGGCATTTAAAGTGTGCGTGTGTGTGTGTGTGTGTGTGTGTGTGTGTGTGTTTGGTGGGGGTGGGGGGCGGGATAATAAAACACAAACAAAGAGCCCTGTTGGTTCAATATTCATTTATAGTGGTTTTTATTATCTGTTTTTACAACGTCTGATTTAGATTTAGTGGCCATTAACAGCAGCACACAGAGCCAGGGGGCTTGGTGTGCTAATGATTTCTCAGACCTCTTCTCTCTACCTGTAGGCTCCACTGTGAGGCAGACGTAAACATATTTACTGCCAGTAACTGCAAATGTAAGATGTAGTCATAGACTTTACAGGTAAATGAGAATAATTTATGTTGCTGCTAGCATCGACAAACTTTTTATCATTTTGTTATGTTGGACATACTTTTGTTAGCATAATCATAATGTGACATAATGATGGATGAAATGCACTGCATAGCTGGTTTTAAATAGTTTTTTTTGTTTTGTTTTTTGACAAATTCAAATCTGACAATTGTGGAATACGCATCATTTTAGCAGACTGAGCTTTTGTGATAAATTAGCTTAATGTGATTGGATAAAATATAGTTATTATAGTTTGGATTGTTTTGGTCAAATTACCTAAAAATTCAGCAGTTTTCTTAAGTGCTGCTTACAATTTTAGCTACACCTGTAGCTAAAAATGTTTTCACTACTTTTTAAATTTTAATTTTAGTTTTTTACCAGCAGTCTGTTAAAAAGATAGTATTTGTAACAATTCACTTATCTGAGTACATAAATGATACCAAATATAACACAGTTTCACAAAGGAAATCCAATTTTAGCTCCAAAATGGGAATTCCCAGGATCTTCTAGGAAATTACATCAACTGAATAATGATGCCTTTCTAAGGCACTGAGTTTAATTTATGCTGGATTTTATTTCTTATGTTTTACTGCAAGCACATTCAAATTTATGAGTTGGAGGACATATTTAATTATTAAATTGTAATTATTTCTTTAACCCTCCACTTGGTTGAATTCACTCCTCCAAATTCCGTTGAAGACTTAGACCCTAAACACACCCAATCTGCTTTGGTATCTGATCTGACAGATTGGAGCACAATGATGTTTGCAGCAGTTAGAAAACGTTAGCAGGTACAGATGATAGATTCTGTTACAAAGACTGAAAGTGGCTATCAAGTGGACATTAGTGTGGACTGGGAGGTTTGAACTAGGCCTTAACCCCATTCTGCTCAGTCACCATCAGGTAAATTGACCCCCAAAAAAAGAACACAAAGTCTATAGAAAGTCTCTGAAAAATTGTCACCTGATGTTAAAGATCGCTTCAAAGGTAAGTATGAAGATCTGCATTGAATTTAGAATCAAAGTGCACAAAGTAGCAGACTGGGTGGTATTTCCTACCAAATAAACTTGATTGATTTATCCTTTTAAACTTACATCTCTATCTGCTGCCAATCAATTGACCGTAACTCTTTGGAGAGTTTCATTAATATCTGTTCAATGAGTTAAAATGAGGGAGTGGTGAGTGTTTGACCTTTAGTAACTCTGGGCTAAGGAGAAAACATATGACATCTTACAGAAAGACCCAGAAAGAAAAGACTGGAACCAGCCATCAATCTGGCGCTGGCACTAGGAAATAAGGAGAATCCTTTCATTTTGCTTTACAAAACATGTTGGCTGTAGAAGCTAATGCCATAGCATGCCATTATATATTTTATGATCTCCAACACTATCCTGAAGAGTTCTTGCAATTTAATTCACACTTGATCCATGGACTCTCTTTGCATGTGGGTCAGTAGCTTAAACCCAGTCTCTGCAGACCCGCTTTGGCTGACCGTATCAGATGATTGTCTGCTGCCATGAGAGAGAAACAGAGCTGGCTCTTTCTTTTTGAAGAGACAAAAAACTGAGACTATTTGGAATAAATGAGCACGTGCTGAGAAGCATCTGTTAACATGGACGCTAAAACTAACAGCATAATGGCTGTGGAGATAATAACCTCCTTTCCTGGCACCTCCTTCCTGTTGATAGAAGATGTTCTTTTTTTCTGTAAACATCAGAGGCTGAATTAAATGTAGAGAAAGCTACAGATAAGATGGTCTGTACATCTGCCCTGCCCACAGAACCCAAGGGAAGCTTTAGAGATTGAGAAGGAAGATTCCTTTTACCTACAGAAGCTGTTAGTTCTTTGAAAGAGGCAGAGAGTAATTAGGCACCGTCTGGGCTGGGTAATATCTGGCTTTACCTTTTAAGTGGATCTATATTCAATTACACATCTTGCACACAAACCTGGCGAGTTGCATCAGTGTCTTCCTGGAGAGACTTTTTTTAAAAAACACTTTGTCCGTTGTGAGTTTGTTGAGGGCCGTTATTCATTAGTGGTCAAATCTAAACCTGGAACAAAATGACAGAATGTCAGTGGGTCCATAAGGACACCGGTGTCCTCATGACAATTAATAAGGCATATTATGTGTCTGTGTCTCCATATTAACTGGAGAAGTAACTAGTAACTTTTGACGTCAGGGGCTCAAAGTTAAAAAAGGGCACACTCACCTTTAAATCTAAATTTAACAAATTCACCTTTAAATCCTGAAACCAAACTAACTGAAATATGACAAGATCTCGTCGATACTTTCATTGTCTGGGACATATCTGTCCGGATATGTCCCATCCTCTAAGTCTGCTTTTGTCTCTGTCGGAGTCAAGTTTTCACATTCAATTTTCCCATTTTCACCGAGAATCAACCGTTTGTATCGTCTGAGGGCAGCGTCTAGCTCAGCATCTACTTGATATTCCGTTTTTTTTCTTGAGTCTTTTTCCCCACCCCGGGAAGTTTGCTTCACTTCCCAAGAAGGTTTGAAAAGATAAGCATCTATTTCATCATATTCAGTCTCGTCCTTATAACTTCGTATATCAAATTCAATGTCTGGAAGGAGTTTGTTAAATAGTTTTCTCACTCCCGTGGTCACCAAATATCCAGTTCCGAACGACCAGGGAAAAAACATCGTTACTAAAACCTCCTCCATTTGAAAATCTCTTGAAAAACACACAGGGCTAATAGTCAAAGGGCTGCTTGTCTACTACCTGATGTTTTGAGATGGAAGCATTTATAACCTCAGATGTTCTTTGATCTATGACATAGATCTGTGTCATAGACAGTGAGGTCATCGCTACAATGAGCTCACTGTAGTTCTGGGGTAATGTCCTGCTTCTGATCGTTGCTATGGAAACGGTCAAATCAGTTCTAACTATTAATCCTATTGATCTGCATCACTTAATCATTTGAGGCAAACAGTTAAACATGACGGACGTTTGAACTATATATTTCAGGGGGCTAGGGATTAAAACAGGGATTTTAATAGTTAAATATTAAGTTTAGCTTGACAATGGTTTATTAAAACCATAAATTCATGTAGCCTTTTTTTTAAATAATTTTATCAGGTTTAAAATTTTAACAGCTTTAAAATCACATTTTACTTTACATTTCACTGTAAATTTGCCAAAAATTGCTCTTAAAAAATGTCCCTAGTCTTGCACCATCTGTTTTGTCTTTGGTTTTTTTTTTTCAAAATAACATACAGACATTTTTGAAAAAAAAAAAAAAAAAGAATATAAAACAAGGACCAACCAGGCGTTCTGCCTTGCTGAATGGTTGCCACGGGAAATTAGAGGATTTCTCAAACATGCATGAAAGATTCAAGGCAACACTCCATGTATGTTTTTGATGAGGGAACAACAGTGTTACTGGATTGATAGCTCAAAAAAATTGATTTTACATAATACTGCCCCTTTAAGAAAACTCTTTAAGATGACTATGAAAAACTTTCATATTATTGGTCCTTTTTTATTTTGACAAATAAACTTAAATCTAAGTTTATATAATTTCTGTACTCTGTTCGGTTTGCTCATCAGGATTTGATTTAAACTGTTGTGCAGCACCGGAGGTCCTTCACTCTAATGGAACAGGAAACCACCATAGGTCACCTTTATCATGGTGCAGCAGTATCAAATCCACTAGCTCCTGAGAAGAGTATGACTGGCAGTTTAGCGCTTGTGGTCAGGCTGATGACGGCTAGGAAGAGCACCCAGACTGACAGGGCCCCTCCAGTGTCGCCTTTGTTGAAGCATTTTTACCTGGATTTGCATGATGTTGTCTGTCAAACCGTCTAAAAATGTCTCCCAAGGGAAATACTGATGTCATACTGTCAGTACACTTCTGCATTCTTTAAAGTAAGCCACTGACATTGACACAACCAGAGTAGTAAGTATAGTAGCGGGGCTTAGACGAGGTCTTGTTGCAAAACGTAAGAAGATGACTGAAACAACCCTACTGCATGCAGCTAATAAGATTTAAAGACAAAAAGTGTGATTGTATGTTTCATCATTTATCTTCTGGAATGTGGTTATGAACGCCTGTCGTGAGCCCAGATACAATGTCTGGATAAATATTCACGCCGAGTAAACTTGGGATTTTGTACCATGGTAGCACAGAAGCAGTGCAAAACAGCGCAAACTGTTTTGCATTGTTAAAGATTTTGGTTTGACAAATTAAAATCTGACAAAGCCAGCGTTTTGATGGCATAGTCAAAGTCCAGAGCTAAATTTAATTACAGCAAGACTTGAAACCTGATCTTCGTAGGTAGCATGGCCAGCGCTTTCTCCCGTCACTTCAGGGCTCAATCTGGGTTTATCTCACTGAAGTGGATTTTTTCTTAAGTTTCTTTTTGTTACGGTCTCTTCTTTCTCAAGCATTTTTATACCAGTTCTGTTTTTTTCTCCTTGACTCTGGTTATCCTTTATGTTTTTTATACAGGGTACAGAAATACAATAACTTGTTCTTGTGGAATAGCTTGTGGAATATTTTGTCATTAAGGTTACAATGTTTAGTCTTAAATGCTGAAAATAATTTTTGTTAAAATAACACCCGTGCTGAGATTTCCACAGTTCTACCCATCTCAAATGACATTTCTGCTGGTATTTCACATGTCTGTTTCCACTCTTGTATTTCCATACATTGTAAATAGTCTGTAATGATCCAACTCAGCTGGGCATTCCTTTGGATGAAAATGTGCTATTTTTAGTGACTTCATGCTATTTTTATGCTGTTATGATTCCTTTTCTGTACAGTAAATTGCTCTTCATTTTGATGGATTGTGTGTGTTTATTATATTTTAATGATTTTTAAATGAATCTACATGCTTCATTTTTTTGTTATAAAAGAAACAGCTTTTTGTTGCTTATTTCTACAGCCAAGTAAAACATCAATGAACCTCTTAGACATGTGAATGACAACTTTTCATCTGATCTTCATAAGCAAGTTTAAATGCTGTTTTGATAGAAAGTCATTTTTTGGTGGCTTTTCTTGTCACTTGCCTTGTCATGAGTCTCTCTTCAAAATGACTCCAGCTCTCCACCTCTGAGCCTCTGGAACAGGACACTTGTCGTAATGTTACACTCCAGCTTCAGGTTTCATGGGAAGGCAAACATTAGCATCCTGCCTCACATGCCTGCAGGGCTTACCTGAGGAACGTCTCCCTGATTTCAACCTGTCATGTGGATTTTCTTTGACTCATAACTGTGTATGCTGTGTTACTTAAACCTTAATGAGTCTTTTTCAGGCCAGAAGGCGTGACATTGTTTGTGGTACATCACCTTCTCCTCTATCTGAATTCTTCTTGCTTTGTCTTTCTCATCTCTTTCTTGTTTTTGTCTGCTCATTTAAACCTTAAAGAAAGAGGGGAAAAAAATCACCCAGAGGGAATATAAAACATAACCCCTACTGTTTAAGCCTTACCCATCTTCACTGTTCATTTTTTTTCTTGCTTTGTATTTGCATGTGCTAAGAGACAGTGCGTGGTGCCATCAAAGGTGAAATGCCAACAAGGTTTTCTCAGATTAATTAGTGTTGAAGATCAAACAACCAATAGCAGGTTGCTCTAAATTTCCACCAAGTCTTTTCCCCTCCTGAAACAATGAAGATGCTCTCAATCTGTCTCAGCTACTGCTCTATGACATGTGACCACCCCACCTGCAGCCACCTTAAAAAGAGGTCCTAAGATATAACTCTTGTGGGAATACTCTCACCATCTGCTTATCTTAGTAAAATCAGAGCCTTGTGTTTGCTGGGACAGTTTTTGGAACAGATGAGGGGCCTCACTCTCAGTCAGCATCTGTTAATTAGAGACAGTCTCTGAATAACATGATGAGAGACAGATAACTGTCTTTGAGTTGACATAGAAGCGCTATACCAAAGCTTGAATAAATAAATGAATTGGGTGATACAAGCAAAACAAGTAGACTAAAACACATCATGAAGTTATCCACTATCTAAGCACAAAGACCCAGACTTTCCTCTCCTCAGCCGCTTGGGCCAGCTCCTCTGAGGGAATACCAAGACACTACCTGGCCAGCCGAGAAACACAGTCCCTCCAGTGTATTCTGGGTAATCCTCTTGGTTTCCTCCTGGTGGATAATACCCACCAGGAGTACACCTCCCTAGTGTACTAACCAGGGAGGTGTCCATCCTAACTGATCCATCTCAACGGCCTCCTCTCGACTTAGAGAAGTAGCTGCTCTTCTCTGAATCCCTCCTAGATAACCAAGCTCCCCATATTGCCTCTAAGAGAGAGCCCAAATTCCCTGCAAAGGAGACTCATTTCAGCCACTTGTATCCACAGTCTTTTTTTTCGGTCACCACCCAAAGCTCTTGATCACAGATGAGGAACTTACACCCTGAAATGAGAGTCTCTCTTCACGACAACAGACCAGTACATCACCATCAGACACAGCACAACGCCACCTATTAATATCACACTTCATTGTTTTGTCATTCTTGAACAAGACTCTGAGATACTTAAGTTATTCCACTTGGAGCAAGACCTTGCCAGAAAGCACACTCTATTCTTTTTTGGCTCCAAACAGTCGTCTTGGACTTGGAGGTGGTGATTTTCATCCTGGCCGCTCAAACTTGGTTGCAAACCACTCCCAGTCCAAGCTGGCGATCATGATCTGATGAAGCTAACAGAACTATGTCATCTGCAAAACAAGACACTCGATCTTTAGGCCACCAAAGCAGATCTGCTCAGCACCTTGGTTCTACCCAGAAACTCTGTCCATGAAGTTTAGAAACTGAATTGGTAGGAAACACCTGACTAAGGTGTACTCTCAATGTAAGCAAATCTTACTGTTAGCAATGTGAATTAAACTCAGACCCTGGATGTAGGGACCTAGGAGCCGGTATCAAGGTGTACCGGCTGCTCGGTGCACCTTAATACCTAGCAGGTGTACCTAGGCATACTATGGCATACTCCCAAATATGCCCATGACTACCAGAATCACA